GTCTAATTTAAAATTTTCATCCTAAATTCATTAATAATGCAAACTCGACGAGACTTTAAGTTTATATGCAAATTAACATGTTTACTTAATGCACCAGTCCCGGTTTGATTAATAAAATTTTGAACTGCATAATAATAATAAGGCGTAATATTTCCGATTATTAAAATGATCATCAGGTGGTCGGGTATTTGTGGTAGGGGAGTATGTGTCCTGCATATAATCAATCAGTTCCAAATGTGTTGTTATAGAATTATAGAATTTTTTTTTTTATAATGGCAAATATTAAAAAACTTCATTAAAAAACTTTTCCTAAACTTTAAATAATGGGTTCTTTCACTTTTAATTATTTTTAATTGATCTAACGTTTGTAACACCAAATAAAGGAAGCCTGTAACAATAACGCCGAGAACAATTCTGGTAAAAAAATGCTATTTGTATATTATTTCCATAATATTCCTACTTCTCCCGTGGCGAGGGGATTTTCCGCAAGTATAAGGTGAAAAATTTAAAGTTGTATTTTTACTAGTAAAAAAATCCTCTACAAATATCAAATTATTAAAATGACACCTTTGATTAGGCCTTATCAACGAGCACAGAAATGTTTGGCATACCTTTAAAATACATCAGTTTATTAACTCTGTGCATTCAGAATAGCACACTTGTTACTATAATGAGATGTTCTAGACTTGGACAGGACAAGGATGCATTATATTTCACTTCCGCAGCTGTATTTCTATCAGAACTATCAAAGTTTCTTATATGTCTTTACTATGCAATAAAAGATCAAAAAATAAGAAAAGGTTACCGGAGTCCAAGAGAACTTTTCAATGAGATTTTTGCTCATGATGCATGGAAATTGGTTGTGCCAGCCGTTTTGTACACTATTCAAAATAATCTACAATACATAGTTGTAGATTTATTAGATGCTGGAACTTTTTTCAAGTAATTTATCTATTAAAAATCTTAACAACTGCTTTATGTTCAGTAATAATGTTAAAAATTTCTTTAAACAAGTTGAAATGGTTTTCATTATTATTATTAACACTTGGTATTGCATTGATGAAAAAATTGAAAAAAAGTGATAATAATATTAATGAAAGTGATAATAATATTGGTGAAAGTGATAATAATATTGGTGAAAGTGATAGTAATGATAGTAGTAGTGTATTATCACCACCATCTTATTCTTCGTTATTAAAAGAGGATGAAAATGACGTCATGGTTATTGAAAAGATCTTGGGATTGACATCCGTTGCTATTGGATGTGTAATTTCAAGTATCGCAAGCGTTTTATTTTGAAAAAGTTTTGAAAGGTACACCGACATCAATTTGGATTCGTAATGTTCAATTATCTTTCTTTTCATTATTTCCTGCTTTGGTTATGGGAGTTTTGTGGAAAGATGGGCGAGGGTGTGTGGGAAAAGGGGGTTTTTATGTTACAATTGGTTGGTTGTTGGTTCTATAGCGTTGTCAAGCTATCGATGATATTGTTGTGGTGATGGAGGTTAAATATGGTGAATATACTTAAAGGTTTCGCCACTTCTATATCATCATTTCTAGCTTCTGTTTATTTATTTGATTTTGTTGTCACTTCCACTTTTCTAATGGTTCAACGTTAGTGTTGACTGCCACTTATATGTATAATAAACAATGATTGTATATAGGAAATGATTGTTGAATTTATTTACATATATTTGTAGAATGCGATTTTTAATTAAACATTAATTGATTTTGTTTATTTACTTCAATAATCACTTTGAAGGAGTAGATAATAGTTTTTCTTTTATACTTTTCTTTAAAATGAGTTAATTAATAATGGTCGTCGTCATTACTACATAAGACATTGACTTATTGGTGGAACAATAGTAATAGCTCAGAAATGGATGCGACATTTGCATCTGGCGAGTTTGTGCAAAATATATAATCGATATTAAAAAAAATTGAATAGACGAAAGCAATGATAATAAAAATGTTTCCCAATCGAATGCAAAAATTATAATTTACATTTGAAATGGAGAAAATCTGAAAGGTTGGTTTTTTACCTGTTATCTAAGTATTTAGAACATTTTTATAACGATGCCAAAAAAATTTACGAGTACAAAGGATAAAGAACGTCAGCATAATAAAAAAATATTAACAAGGCTTCTAATATGGTAAATAGCGATTTCATACGTTGAGAAAATTATTATGGAACTGTTGATATCGGCGATCTTGATCATTCTGTTGTGGAAGCATGACCGCGACAAATAGAAGAAAAGTCTGTTGGATAACAATCATGTGCTCTTTAAGACTAATCGCAATATTTTTTCAATAATTCTCATATATGATGAATATACAAACAAATATTCTGTACCAAAGTTCAAGCGAGATTTTGCTACTAGACATGAATGATTATGACATAATATAACTTTGAGAAAATTGGTGTAGGAAAAGGGTACAGATGGACGACACGAATATTTCAGCAGACTTGACTTATGAAACCAATTTAATCAATTTTATCGAATAAAATATTAATAAACCAAAGTCGTTTTGATTTGCTTTTACAGAGCAATTAATCGTCTTTAAGAATACTTGACATTGAGATTGAAAGAAAATTTTAAAAAATTGAAGAAAAATACATATATGGTGTTTTAGAAATGAATTCAACCATTAGCACAATTTTGAGCTGGGATTTATGATTAATTTATTAAACTTTTGAAAACTTATCTTTTTACTTTAATGTATTAGAAATAATACATCAACTTGTTTCATTGTAGATATTCAGCTCTAGAAGGAAATATATCGGTAACATAGATAGAATGTTACTACCATCAATTAATTCTTATGATAGCAATTATGTTTTTTGGACAGCCATTACTTTTAGGTTTCCAGATTAATCTTAGTTTAAAGAATTTTCTGAAGCTTAAAAGGATCAATCATGCTTTCAGTAAGGAAGATTGTTTACCAAATTCTCCATCATTGTTTGGAATGGTATTATAAGTTTTTATAAAAAACATTATGAGTTGACGCTCACCTCATCGATAAAAATTATTCATAGCATACAGTCAAAAAAGTAGGCATTCGTTGAATCATCTCGTTCGAGGCCTTTTCATTTTTTTATTGTCTTTAATTAATTAATAAAACTTTTTTTTTTTAGAAAAAAGCCATTAATATAAATAAATAAATCATTATTAATACATTATTATTATTATTATTATTATTATTATTATTATTATTATTATTATTATTAATTCCACTCAAACTAATTTCTATGCCTAGAGAATTAAAAAAATTAAAAAATTAAAAAGCTATTATTAATATCTACATTTAAACCAATTTTACAACCTTCTTTTTTTGTTTCTTTTTTGAATCATTTTCAGTATCATCACTTTTATTACTTTCAGTAGATTTGACTGCATTACTACTACCCCATGCATTATTTTCAGTCATTATTTTTTTAGTACTTTGAATTGTTTTTATAGATTTTTGCTTTGATGGAGGTGGTAGGCCAGGAAAATCTACTTCTGATTTGTTTTGAATCTCAACATTTGATGATGACGCAGTTGACTTTGAACCGTTATTATTTTTATTTTTATTATTATTATTATTATTATTATTATTATTATTATTATTATTACTATTACTATTACTATTATTATTATTAGATGGTGCTAACGAATACCATGGCGGCGGGGAAGTTGTTGACGACGACGACGACGATGATGATACAACCACCGCTGGTGAAGTAGTTGATGATTTATATGAATTATTTTTATTAGATGATGATTTGACAATCTTGTCAATACTATTTCTACTTGCTAGACTATTTGATTTACTTGATGATTTTATCACAAGTATACGTGATTTTGATACTTGTGGCTGATTATTTTTGGGCAATGATGGATATTGAATAGATTCCTATAAATAAAATACAATTAAATTCATCTTCACAAATTTGATTATTAATTTTAAATCTGTAAAAAAAAAAAAAACAAAAAAAAATTTTACTAACTGTATTTGTAGCTTTATAATCATTCCAAACGGTTAATAATTCTGTTTTCTTCTCTTCTGATTCTAATGATGCAACAAACCCAGGTACAACTTTGCCAACAATATCCAACTTACTATCAAACAATTGATACAATGATATTACGAATTCTGATGCTGTCATATGTGAATTACTATATGCTTCAGATAATGAATTATATTCTTGTATTTTTTTTTGATCGTGTGATAAATGTTTGTGGACGCGTTGATTAAAAGAAACATGTTTACTATGATAAAAATAAAATTGCATATTATATTGTTTAATAGATTATTAATTAATTTCATCATCTTCATCAATAATAATAAAAAAATAGTATACCTGCTAGATTCAGAATCTACATAATTAGATTTTGCTTTTTCACCATAATTTAACTGTGAACTGTTATTAACCTTTAAAGGTGAATATGCGGTCAATGGTGGAAAAGCAGACATTTCTCCTTTGGCTGATTGAGATGAAGAGGTAGATGTAGATGCTATATGCGACGATGATAAGCTTGCTGGTTCAATATTATTATTAGAATATTTAGTTTTCCCCTTCAAATTGCTACTGCTGCTGGTACTAGCATTACTATTACTACTACTGCCTCCACTATTACCAACTTTTGTGGTAGAGTGTGATTTCGAGGGGTTAACCTTTTTCTTTATCGTGGAGTCGTTCTGAAAACCACTTGACTTAACCCGTTCACTATAATTTATACGAGAAGTAGTACTACCATTACTCTGAAGATTCTTTGCAGCATTCAAAGATGGAAAAAAATTGTCATAACTCTGATTATTATTATTGTTGGTACTAGGACTTGGTGTTCTTGCTCCTGAAATATTTGTTCCGTATGATGAAAAATCTTCGAGTGGATTGGTTGATACATCAGTTGATAGAACTCGATAATCAAATGATCTATTTGAATTGCCAATAGCATTATTATTATTATCATTATCATCGACATTAAATCTTTGCATTTGACGTGTAACTTCTCTATATGGATCCACATGAGGGTTTTCATCGCCATTTCCGTTACCACCACCACCACCACCGTCGTCGTCGTCGTCATCGCCACCGTAATCATAACCTGACTATATGATATTATTACAATCATAATAATATTAATATTATTGTTATTATTATTATTTAACTCGTAATAATTTAATTTGAAATCTTTTTTTTTCAACAACTTACTTGTCTTTCACGACTTATATGACGTCCTCTTGTTCTTCTTAAATTAGGATCACCTACTAAAAAATTAGTTTCAATACGTCTTACTTCATGTTTAGCTCTTTGTCCAGTGACATTTGAAGCGTGCTCTTCAACCTATTTTTTTTTTTATTTTTATTTTTTTTAAAAAACTCATTAATATTGACAATTTAAATTAAAAATAATGGCAAATAAAAAAGAAATACATGCCTCATGAATTTTTAAATCAATATCAGTCGGAAATACAACAAATTTCTTTTCTAAACATTTAGGGTCAGAGCACAAATGATGTACTGATCTAAAATGTACTTCCTATAAACAAAAAGAGTTTTTTTTATTTTAAATATGTATGTTAATTGTAATGAGATTATTGGACAATATTTATTTACACATACCAATGTATTATAATTAAGATAATATTGATGTTGAATGCCTTTTGCTCTACAAATATGACATTGCTCGTGTTTATCTCTACAATGTTCATACAATTCATCTTTCCCATAAAAACCAATCTTACAAAATTCACATTCAGGATGTCCCTGAAAACCTGTTTTATCAGGGTCACCCTCTTTACAATGTATATTCAATTCTTTTTGATTGTACAGTACATGTTCATGAGTAAAGTATTTTTTATGCTCAATACAAATATCACTATTTTAAAATTAGTAAGATTAATAATGAAATTAATATTATAATTATAATCAATATGTTATCGGTCATTAAGCATTTTCAATTTATTAATTATATATATAAATCAAAAAATATTACCATAAAAGAGCCTTATGAACTCTTCTAACATGTGATTTTATCTCATGCCATCCAGATTCAAAATATTCCTCACAATCATTATCAGGACAATTATATCTTAATAAAACAACAACTTCTTCATATATTTGTAAATCATCACAATGAATTTCAAATTCTTCAACATGATAAGAAAGCTCATTTTCTTCAAAATCTTGAAAATTTTTCTCTGAATCTCTCGTAATTATTATCTTTGATTGTTCTGTCTATTTACAATATAATGTATATATGTATAAGTAAAATTTTAAAGACAAGATTCATTATTAATTTTGTGTGTTAATTATTTGTTTTTTTTTTTTTTTTTTTTTGTAATAAATTACCTTACAGTAAGTACATTGTTTAGTTTTATACAAAGCTCTCATTCTCAAACTACAAAGGTGACAAACTCTATGGTTACAAACGCCAAGTGCATAATAATTGATCCGACTAGCACAAATCATGCAAAGATTTTCACTAGAAGTAGAATCATTGTCATCTTTAGAAATGGTCAAGTCTTTTTTAGTAATGTTGATAGCATTAGAACCTTGAGTGTCAAGGGTGTCTTGTTCTTGCTGTTGATGTTGTTGTGGTCGTCGAGGTTGATTACGATAATTGCGTTGTTGTGATGGTTGATATTGTTGTTGACGATAACGACCACGGCCACCACCACCACCACCACCACCACCGCCATTTCGATAATGACTTCTTGGAAAAGAGCGTTCGCCTCGACCTCTATGTCTTTGGTTGTTGTTGTAATTGTTGTAATTATTGTTGTAATTGTTGTTGTAATTGTTGTTGTTGTTGTTAAAATGTCTGTCAGATTGATTGTCTCTAGAAGTATCACTATTGTTGGTAGTAGTAGTAGTAGTATTTGTATTAGAATCCATTGAAGCAAGAAGATTTTTATTGTTGAATAATTAAAAAAATTTTAGGTAACAATATTTTAAGCAAAAAAAAAAAATTTATTGAATTTTTATTTATAATACAATTGGTAATACTGCGGCACAATGTATTTGTCAATAATAATAATAAAATAAGATAGATATGCGGGATTTTTTTCAATATTACACTGAAATATTATCCTTAAAAGGAATAATATAGTATCAATAAACATCGAAATTACTAAACTTTACACATTCTTGCTCATGAATTTTGAAATAAAAAACCTTTTCATTACACACACACACCATCTTGTATCTATATACTTGAAAGTGGAGGAGTAGTAGTGATTTAAAGACAACTTTCGGAAATTCTGTTCATACACAAAAAAAAATTATAACCAATCGATATATGACAATAATCGAATTTGGAAATGAATGCAACACTGAGAATTTACCGCAAATTGTTGACGTGTTCAGGTATGGGGAGGGGGTTAGTCCTTATATCAATTCTTAATCACGTATTTTCTGACTCCTTCCTTTAAAATAATAATAGTGGCCTTATTAGTATTAGTACCAGTAACGGGTTCAAAATTTATCTGAATCGATTCTGAATTTCTTTATTTTTTATTATATATACTTGCTTGCACTCTCGTATATTTACATCAAGTTAGTATTTATTGTCATGATTTGACAAAATTGAACGCAGCGAAGATAACTATTCAATTTTAGTGAGTAATATTTATTTAATCAATTTTTGACTTTGCAAAAAAAAGAAAAATTTTGCATATCTCAATGACAATAGTTGAGGATTTTTATTATGTTGGTAAATTGATGATCAATTTTAACAAAAAAAAATATTTCGTAATTATGTAAATTACTAACATAATAAAATATAATTTATCTACATTAAAATATTTGCATAAAGTACCTGGAAAAAACTATTCAAAGCAGGTTTTTGAAAATTCTATAAAAAAGCCATTTATAATTTAGGTTGGTTTTGGATATTAAACATATGAAATTTCATGATTCTCCAAGATCTAAAAAACTAGTAAAACTAGTAATTAAAAATTTAAAAACATGATTCAAATCATAATCAGCAAATCTTTATTGTTATTACTGATAATTGATTTTCACTTCTTTAAGTTTTAGTTAGTATTAGTACAAAAACATTAAATTTTATAAGATTTTGCGAAAAATGCGTTCGATGATCTTTCTAAAAATGGATTTAATATATAATAAATATCACTACGAAAGTTTCAAAATCTATCTAGCCCACCAATCCTTCTCTTACTGTTATAAAAATAGTATCAAATGAAGGCTTGGAACTTACGCTTCCACTTAATGACTGTAAATTTTTAAAATTTTTATTAAAACTTTTTTGGATATAACTTTTTTTTATAAACAAAAAATTACAAAAATAAAACAATTATGTTGAAGTATATGTTATGTAGTAGTTATATACTAATTTTAAATAGAAGTCTATTTTATAAGTAAAGAGGAGGTAGAGTTGAATTTTGTTTATTTTTATATTAAAATTTTTTACATTTATTGATCGGTAAAAAAATCCGCATGTACTGTATTTGTTAACATTGACATTTTTTTTCTTGTAAAGCTAATTCACATCTTTGCTTTTTTAGACTTGCTAAAATTTCAACTTTTCCTGATGGATTTTCAACCATAAATTGCATTAATTCTTTCAAGTATCACAAGCGAAGAGTTTTTTTTGCAAACATGTTCATTTAAAACTGACTTGTAATAAATGCATCCTTTGTTATTATTATTCTAGAAAACATTGAAACAAATGCTGACATGCATATTAAATAATAAGAAATTCTAGCTCCATTTTTTCTCACAGCTATACCTATAATTTATCTTCTCTTGTGGAATTTATCAACATTATTCCAATGATGTACCACATATTCTGTATCGCGTCGAGACCAGGATGATTATTCGATGACCATTCGACTATATCAATGTTACGATATTGTTCGCCGTTGTGTCCTCATAATGCAATAAAGAACAATCACACGTTAAAAGAAGATGGCTTATTAAATAATAAACAGATGCGTTTTTATTTTTGTGCACTAAACAACAATTCTATATGACAACTGCGCAATTCTTCGAAACATTGTATCAAGAGCTTCATTAATTTAATTAATTTATTATTTTTGATTATTTTATTTTGCCTTTTATTTCATTTGATTAATTGTCATTAGTCGGTTCTAACTGTGTGGATTGTAATCATTGACTGCGTAAATTGTTAACCATATCAAAGTCATCTCTCTCGGGTAATTCCTACGGAGCTTTGAAATAAGACTTGGCAAATAAGTAATCCATTAATTAACAAATCCCATCTCGGAATGTTGTTGATGACCACACCTTCAACCATGATACGTATAAATCTCGAAATAAAAATATATTTACAAAAGAATCGGAGTACATGTTTTGTTAATCACACAAAACATACATAGTAACAACCAATTGAATTTATATCATATGCAAGCTTAGGAACTTTAAATTGCTATTATTGTTATATTTTGAAAATTTTAAAAGTTTAAAATAAAGTGTGCTTATAATGAAACCTCGTTTCAACGAATCTAATGGACACACAAGAAAATTGCATTTACATTTAGAATGATCGCGTTTTAACAAATTTTATGTGAAGCAAAATTCGTTGTAACAAAGAATTTCATTGGATCAATTTATTTACAAGTGATAGATAAATTTGAACTTGAAGAATCAAAAATTAGGTAATACTATTTGTATTCGTATTCGACCTGAATTTTGTTGATTATTCGGGGCCTTAGATTGGGCTTTAATAAATATTTATGCAAATTCGATGTTTCAAAATTTTCTACAGCTTGAATAATAAAAAAACAAAACTTCAATTAAAATTTCCACATATGAAGGTCTAGATTTCGTTGATTCACGTCATATAATTTTTTAAAAAAGGCTTAAAACATGCGTTTCATTAATTACTCGAAAATATACATAATAAATACACACCATTTTGCATCTTAGGTTTTGACGGATAAGATAAGAGAAATTCAATTGAATTTTATAGGTCATGTGACATTCTCCTTTCTATGTGAAATGAAAGAGAAAATACACCATTAAAGCTTTCTAATAAATACCTTTTCATATCGAAGGATGCTCTCTATGTAAAGCCGCGCCTATTCAATAATAATATTACTTTTTCGCTGAGAAGATGTAAATACTCTAAGCTTTCATATTGTCATTGCTTTATGTCAAGTTCCAGTTAATAAGTTATAGAAAGATTCACAAAAACAGTTTATTAATGCTTTAATACTATTGCCATTCAACAAAAAATCTTTAAATGAAAGAACTAAGTATATCGAAGACAGTAACAGTAATATGTTTTATTTATTTTACTCGAATATTCAAATTCATAACGAACAAAACAAATAAACTTTGGAAATGCTAAATTGAGCAGAAACTTGAATTTCAAGCTCAAGCTGAGTTCAAGAAAATAAAAATATTATGAAATAGTAGAATTAATCATTCGTTAAAAAAGAAATTTATGTCGATCTTATTACATTGAGCCCTCTCTAAATGAACTCTCCTTAAATGCAATTGTCGAACTTGGCTCGTTCGTAGCTTTAGTAGCATCAGAAGAGAAAAAGGGGGAAAAATAAAGTGACCGATTGGTTCTTTTCAAATCACGAGATTTAGTCACAAGAACTGTGATCGCATCTCAAAAATAATATTAAAAAAAGATACAGTATGAAATGCTCATTGCCAATTTTTTCTTGAAGCTTAATTCGTATCTTTTTTTTTAAACTTTGCGAAATTATTATTTTTCCTGATATCACTTCTCTCTAACATCATCCCTCAAAATGAACATACCATTTTAAATTAACATACTTTTTTAGATATACTTTTAACCAATAATAATTATATAACCTTTTTATGTTTCTATGAGAAAATAATAAACATTAAAGCTCTGAATGGGCAGAGTTGAGCCAAATTATTATTTAACTCAAATATAAAAAAGCACTTGAAATTTAATATAAAATCACAATTTTGCAGACCGCTCTGAAAAATAATTAAGTGATCATAGAAGCAAAACAATAGTAACAATATCCTTACTATAATGAATTGTATAACATAATCAATAAGACTAAAAATTTAAATGAGATTCCATATTAAGGTTTTTAGATTCTTAAATATATGCATTTGTAGAAAATTAAAACAAAGCGCAAAAATGCTTAAAAATTTTTCATTACTATTCGTAATACAAATCCTTATAATTTGTTTTATTTGAATAAATTTTCAATGTAATTCGAATACTCAAATTCACAATGAATAAAACAAATAATTTGAATAAGCCCCATTCGAATAGAAATGCTAAGTTGAGCTAGCTCAAGTTAAAAATCGAATTTCAAGTTCAGGCTGAGTTCAAGAAAATAGGCTCTTAAATTATTTTTTGGGTAATAATAAAAATAATCATTCATTTACCTAAAAAGAAATTCATATAACATCAAACTCGAGTCGAATCGCAGTGAGATCTCCTAAATGAATTTGTATTTCTTGACTCAAACTTTCGGAGCTTTAGAAGTATCAGAAGATGAAGAAGAGGAAGAATTAGTTAGTCAATTGAAAGAATCGAAAGTACTGCCCAGCTATTAATAGACAAAAAGGAAAAAGGGGAATAAAAGAAGTCTTTGAAGATAATTTGAGTGATCCTTCTTTTTACCAAACATATGATTGGCTACTTTTTAGAACTAGACTGGAGTCTTATAAATCCAATTCCCAACACTGGTTGCTGTTATTGTTAATAAAAATTTCTGAACCTTGTTTAGGTTTATTTCAAGCAAATATTGACATTGAAACTTTTACAATAAAGAAATCTCAAAATAAAGATTTTGGATAAACTTATAAATGAAAATATTGAATTATTAAAACCCAGAATCTTGAATTTGAATTTTTCACATTAAAATAAATTTTGTCATTTTCATTTTCATTATTGTTATCATCAGTATTATCAGTAATGATGATGTTAGTAAATAAGGATACTGGCTGCAACTTTTGATGATGGTTGCTACCATCTTTGTGTCATAAAAATGATTGCAACCACCTTTACAACATTTTGTTTCCTTTTTTGGGTTGCGACATGGAACACTATTAGTAAAGTAAAAATTAATTCATCCATAATGAAAAAAAAAATAGATCATTCTTTCCGGTTGGTAGAGATTCTGCATACTTTTCAATTTTGTACATTATTCTTTTTTTCTAGAATTCATGTACTGTATACAACTTTTTCAAAAAATATTCATGCACTCCAAATTCGTAGCCTTATGAAATCATTCAAAAAAATTCTAAAGATAAATAAGTATTGGGTATTATTTAAAGATGAAAGAAATTGAAATGTTAAACAAATTAAAGCTATCAATTGAGTCAATTTATCCAAGATATGATTTATTATCTAAACCAATTTTGGATAAATATTACATGACAATTAGGATTGATAATATTTTAAATGAATTACTTGAAACATTACAATTAATAGAAAATTGTATTGATTGTAAGAAAGAAATGATAAAAAATAATAATAATTACCTTGTGGATAATTTGAAT